ATGTCTCTTACAATGTTATTTAAGCCAAATAACTTAAAATGGTCAGAATGAGAATCAGAAGAGACTCATCACCACCCCCCAGGAATGGAAAGAAATAAGCCATTTGCCACATTTCAGGAAAAAGATGGGCATCTTTTTAAACTTATGATTTCACTGTTAAATGTGAACACTTAACACCACACATGGGAAAATAACTATGCATGAGATCAGGCTGCCAAAATAGCTTAAACTATTATAATAATAGCGCGCACTTATATAGCACTTTTCTGGACACTCCACTCAAAGCGCTTTACAGGTAATGGGGACTCCCCTCCACCACCAACGTGCGGCATCCACCTATACAACCATGCCATCAAAATCAACCGATTTCAGGCTACTTTTTTTAAAAAGTAAAAATATACCCCTATAAGGAAAGAAACGTTTAGCCAATAAACATTAGCAATATCTCAACTAGTAGAAACTGACAGTAAACTTCACCGTTTCTAAGAGGAGTCATTTGTGGGTGGCGGTGGAGAAAGCAGATTAGAGGGTGGTTTGGGGAGTTTTTAGAAGTTATGATCTTTCCTGTAATGGGGGTCTTCACACAGTCAAGTCTTTAAGGATGGGTATGGTGGGAGGTCTCATTCTTGAGCACGATGTGCAGATCGACTCCAGCAGTAAGATGCTGGAACCATAATGACTAGTAAAGCCACCCCCTCCTCCTCCTCCTCCTTCTCTTCCCCTGAAGGAAGAACGTCCCTCAGCAAGCCATTCGATTTCCCCAGACCAAGACCCTCCCGCAGACATCCCAGGCCTGCTGCGGACACACAGCTGCACGGAGATCGCCGCTTCAACCCGAGCGGCGCCGCTGGCCCTCCTAGGGCACGAGCGCGCATGTTCCCTCTCCGGAGGGAAAGGAGCCTGGCAAGAGACCACGTCAAGATAATCGCTTCACTTCCTGCTGGCTGCTACGTCTGTATCATGTTCCCAGCGTATATTCCAAAACCGGCGGTTCATCTGGAAAAATCTTTCCTCCCTTTTGATTTGCAAGAACCGGCTTAAAATAATTCGGCAAACCGACTGCCAGGTCAGGTTCAGCCGCAGAAGATGGGTCGCAATGATGTCCTGTGAGCTACAGCTACAGGCACAATTGCAGGAAATCGCCAGACTTCCCCCGCATCTCTAATTCGATAATCTTTAAAGTGGCAAAGCTTTCTTCGTATGCAAACCAGCTCCTGCGATAGTCTTAAAATAATAAGCAATTCAAGAACTGCCAACTATAGATGACAAAAGACATTACAAACCTCTTCCTAAAGACTTCCCGATACCCACTCAGTAAGGGTCAGCTGGATTGTGGCATGCTGGAAAGGGTATTTAGGCTTGTCAACAAGACCAGGGAGCCACAAAAGATCTTTCTGCTCATCGGTGACGGGTTTAAGAAGCCTGCTTTTTGTACAAGAGGATGAAGCTCTGAAATCCCCAGTGCATCACAGCATACCAGAATCCAAATACAAGAGAAGGTTTGGAAAAGCAGCTAGGTATTTGTTGACCCAAAACCTGTTTTGTGCTTTGAACTGCAAACCAATTCCAACTTCAAAATTTCAGTAACTGATCACTTCAGCAGACAATAAGAGACCGAATTTCCTGTACATTAGAAAAGATTAAGTTCTACATGGTACAATATCAAAACCTAAGCAGCAAACTGCAAAATTAAAAGTAGCCACTCAGCAGTGCACATTAAACTTGAAGATTGACCTTCACTTTGTCAGATATTACTCAAACAGGTTCTCCAATTTTATCTCCCACACCCTGCTAAAGAATGGATTACCAAGCCTTTCCAAAAACCTGCTAGTGATGTATTCATTTGACTAGTTACAAAGATCAGAATGCAGTGGTTGCAAAATTAGAAGGAAGAATAAGTCAATGAAAAGTGCAATAGTTATAAAGCATGTACAATTCACCCTAGATCAGTTACAAAGCCAAAGAAAAATACTTTATGACTGTGTAAAGCCAGCTGGCTTTACTCCCTGCAGGGCTGTATTGAACAGATGTCAGATATATGGATCTCCAAACCCAATCCTGGGAAGTCCCAACCCAGTTAGCCTCACACATCACTAGTTTCTAAAAACCAGGAACACGTGCAGGTTATTCATGAATTTAAGCAAGGAATCTGCTGGGGGGCAGTGGGCTGAAGGGTACTCAGATTTTGGTCTCTGTGAATAAAGCTATTGACCAAATCTACAGCTCTACCATGATGAAACTGTTCTCGCAATGACCTCAGAAACTCGTGACCCAGTTCAACCCAGGTCCTCGCCAGAACGCAGAATGGAGAACAATAAACTTGTGAAGGGCTGGCCGGATTATCCTTCAAAAACATGGAATCCTGCTTGGTCTCCAACAAAACTCATGGCTTATCACACAAAGCAGTCCAGCCATAACTTCTAATTTCCTTGACTGCGTTGAACTCTAGTATGGCAATACTTTTGTTACACAGAATAAGAAACTGATCAGATATTTACACAACTTAATCAAAGATGCAACTGTTTTGTTTAAATAGTGGGCAAAATGATTAACAACCACAGACCATCTCAGCTCAACTATTAGAGAATGGGTTTGTCTTGGTATGAATGCATTCCCCTCCCCCACCCACAGGCAAAATAACCATATAGAAAGTTAGAATAATCACTAATGGGGTAGAAGGTATAGATTTAAGAAAGGGCTGTTAATAGGCATGGCAGGGGATGACATTAATGAGTGAGTAATCAGGGTTAAGTCACCTCAGCAAAGCCACTACACCTGTGTGGACAATTCCTCATCCAGAGTACAGCGAGAACTCTGCCTTGGTGTAGTGAAACCATTAGACACTCATAAGTCTGGAAAGTGAACATGTCCAGTCTGGACACCAACATGAATTTTAGGGATCACTGAGGAACAAAAACAATTTGTACCATTAGAACAGTAAACCATAACTCCATTAATCATATCTCCAATGTATAGTACTTACACAAAAGTGCAAGTCAAAAATAATTCTAATTCTTACAAGAACAGGAGGAGGCAAGCACCAACAATACAGAACTCAATTTTATCGTTTTCAAAATTGAACTATGAATAGCCCTTCACTGTCACCCAGGAGTCTAGCAAATGGTTGACTAATCTGTACAAGTCACCATATGCAAAATGGAAAGGAAAAACAAAGACCATTTCTGGGGTTCAGAAGGATTCAAGCAGGTTCATTTTATAGTTTGTACTGCTAAAAAACTGTGCCACATTATCTACTACAAATAAAACAGTGGTCTTGTAAAACACTACTGCTCCTAAAATGGTCAAACATTGCAAGTGTTTAATTGGAGCAGAGAACTACAAGAAAGGCTCAGCACAATGGCCTGTCCCAGGGGAGTATGTGCCATTAATTAAGCTTTATCTTGCAAGCACATAACTTGCTGATTACTCCTCAAGTGAATGAGAATTGCCTCAGGCATGCTCAACAAGTGTCACACTTCAAGACAAGACATTTATCAAAATAATGACTCCTGCACTAGTAAAAGCAGGTGCATCAAATAGGCTTCCAGCAAAAACACATTTGCATTTAAGAGAAAAACATGGTTCTCCATATTGACAAACCTTCGACACCAATTTCATCCCCGACAAGAAGCCTTCAAAATGCCTGCTGAACATACTAACCGCAAGAATAAACTATCTCCTGGGAAGTCAAGGGAAGACAAAAGCAAGACCGCAGCAGAGGAGACGGAGAAACAAGTTTATAAACAGACGTGCTTGTGGACCGCTTTCCCCAAGACCCCTAGATTTTGCTATTAGAAGCAACAGCGCCCGTGGCCACAAGACAACATGGTTTCCTTTTTGAGAAACTATTAAATGTTTCCTTTTCCCTCCTCAATTAACTATAATTCTGGCAAGCTTACAAAAGTATTAAGACTGCCGGAAAACAGACAACGGCAAACAGGAAAAACATTTCCAGTCATCTAAACTAGCTTTTTGTTTGAATGCCTGTGCTTTGCTCCAGTTTTTTAGGCAAGTTAATCCCCTTAACCAAACTCCATAAGCCACCATTTTATCAAAACAGGGGATTTAAAAAAAAGGGGAAAAACCAAAAAGCAAATAAGACTTGATTTGAGTGTCATAGCAACAACTCATCTCATAATGAAACCAATATATTTGTAAAATTGGAATTAAAGCCAAAGATCATAAATTTAATGCG